TTCCCACTTTGCATCAGTCCATCTTAGATCAGCTTGGGCCCAGCAAGCCAGCAGCGTTTCTGGGTGCTGTTGATGAATGGCTTTTACTTTGTGGAGGAGAGTTTTAAGTTGCAGTTACGGATGCAGCGCCGAGCTGTATTTAGTGACGTTGGTTTTATGAACCTTTTGATGATACTGAGGAACATTGTCCTTAAACTGTTTGATTATTTTCTCAGACAGACATTTACAAAGAGGTGAACCTCGCCCCATTTTTGCTTGTGAATGACTGAGTATATCTGGGAAGCTCTTTTTATACCCAGTCATAGGACCCACCTGTTCCCAGTGAGTCTGTTCACCTGTGAGATGTTTCAACCCGGTGTTTGATGATGTTGATCCTTCTGCTGCGGAAGTCTCTCGCTGGTCATGTGTAGGCATCATTGCTGGTGACTACACTCGGTTCGAGGCACAAGACTGGAGACGTTTCTTTTATTTTTCTGTGTGTCGCTACCACTGAGTCGCTCAACACCTGACGTGCCTCAGTGCATCGTCACTGCCAAAAGCGAACTGCCGGGAAGCTCCACCCCCTTTATTTATATACACCCCAGAACATGGTGTCCTTCCACACAAAGTAGTGCCACACATTGGAACAACAGTGATAGTGGCATACATCGTACCCAACACCCCCACTCGATGGTGCCACATGCACTAACATTGCATTAGTTACCGAACATATAGGGTTTAAACTTTTCAATTTTTGCCCTTGTAGCAGATTTAGTAAACACGTCTGCTACCATGCTATCTGTTGGACAATACATCAGAACAATTCTTTTCAGCAAAACATTGGACCTGATGAAATGGTATTTAATGTCCACATGCTTGCTCCTTTGGCGATACACTGGGTTCTTTGCAAGGCGTATCGTTCCCTGATTGTCCTCGAATATCTTCGTGGATTGTTCAAATCCTGGATGGAAGTCTTTCAAAACTTGTGTAAGATATAGTGCCTCCTGAATAGTAGCCGCCAGTGCAACATATTCAGCCTCACAAGTTGAAAGTGCAACTGTCTGTTGTTTCTTTGTCTTCCATGAGACAATAGCACCCCCTTGTGACAGACTAAAGCAATAGCCTGTGGTGCTCTTTCTGTCCTCTTTATCATTTGCCCAGTCGGCATCGGAGTAGCCTACCAACTCTAATTGTGCGTCACTCTTTTTGTAACATAGCACTTGGTTCTTAGTTCCTTTTAGGGGGATTTTGGATGGGGAGAAAGGTGCACATTTCTCTCCATCCAAAATTGTTACTGTGTGATGTCAATGTGTGATACTTTATGTGTTTTGTCGACAGAAATTGTTTCAGAGGAAGGTAATTGCAACCACCTGGGAATGGCCAAGTGCAACTCGTACCTGATTGGCCCGGAGCTCAGGGGAGCTCCTTTTAAAAGGGGATTGAAGCAGTCACTGCGGGCTGGACAGCTTGCAGAGCATTGGTACATGTGTTCCGCCAAAACTGCTTAGCTGTTTCCAATTGCAATAAAGAAAATGGGAAAATCTCCTTCCTGTATCCTGGCTGAATTGACTTTTTATTCCTTTTTCCACATGGACTGCTGTTTCGCTGCATGATAATCGTTTTTATTTATCGTTTAACTTAACTTTTTACTGCTGCGAATGGTGTACTATTCCTTTAGTTTTGGTCATTATGGGTTGTGCAGCTAAGTATGTTTTAAGGTGGAGCATATTACTTAATTTGGAGTACATTAATGATATTAAAAAATCATTTAAAAATACATAACTAACAAGATACACTTCAATTAGTTGAAGTGTATCCCGCTTTACGATCTAACAGTTGTGTTCTAATAGACAACCCTATTCCAATGAAGTTGAGATGAAGTTGAACATAAATAAAGAATACAATGATTTGCAAATAATCTTCAATCTATATTTAACTGAACACACTAAAAATACAATACATTTAATGCTCAAACTGATAAAGTTTATTGTTTTTAGCAAATAATAATGACCTTTGAAGTTTTTAGCTGCAACACCACTGGGTTACATCACATTTTCTTTTTAACAACATTCAATAAACAACCGAGGATACTCATTGTTGGAGCATTTTAGGTGGAATTATTTTCCATTCTTGCTTGATGTATAGCTTCGGCTGTTTAACAGTCTGTGTTGTCGTATTTTACGCTTCATAATGCACCACAAATTATCAATGGGATACAGGTCTGGACTGCAGGCAGGCCAGTCAAGTACTCGCTATCTTTTACTCCGAAGCCATGCTGTTGTAACACATGCAGAATGTGTCTTGGCAGTATCTTTCTGAAATAAGCAGGAGCGCTCATGAAAAAGACATTGCTTAGATGGCAGCATCTGTTTCTCCAAAATACCTTTCAGCATTAATAGTGCCATCACAGATGGGTGAGTTACCCATGCCATTGGCATTACACTAACAAATCCCCACGGCATCACAGATGCTGGCTTTTGAACTTTACATCCATAGCAGTCTGGATGGTTCTTTTCTCTTTGGCCAGGAGGACACAAGTCCACAATTTCCAAAAACTATTTGAAATGTTGACTCATCAGACCACAGAACACTTTCCCACTTTGCATCAGTCCATCTTAGATCAGCTTGGGCCCAGCAAGCCAGCAGCGTTTCTGGGTGCTGTTGATGAATGGCTTTTACTTTGTGGAGGAGAGTTTTAAGTTGCAGTTACGGATGCAGCGCCGAGCTGTATTTAGTGACGTTGGTTTTATGAACCTTTTGATGATACTGAGGAACATTGTCCTTAAACTGTTTGATTATTTTCTCAGACAGACATTTACAAAGAGGTGAACCTCGCCCCATTTTTGCTTGTGAATGACTGAGTATATCTGGGAAGCTCTTTTTATACCCAGTCATAGGACCCACCTGTTCCCAGTGAGTCTGTTCACCTGTGAGATGTTTCAACCCGGTGTTTGATGAGCATTTCACAACTTTCTCAGTCTTTTTTTTCACCTGCCCCAGATTTTTAAAAACGTTTTGCAGCCATAAAATTCTCAGTTATGAATATTTGCTAAAAACAATAAAGTTTATGAGATTGAACATTGAATATCCTGTCTTTGTAGTGTATTCATTTAAATTCTGATTGAACATGATTTACGAATTATTGTATTCATATTTCTTTTGTGTTTAACACATCACAACTTCATTGGAATTGGTTTTGTATACGAGTGTATTTTATTTTGTTGTATTTATTATACCGGTAATCTTTTTTAGCGCTGATGTACAGTCCGACAGCATATCATGTACCAAAGGATCCTGAAAGCTCTTTCTAAGATTGTGGTAAATGAATGAGATTGCCACATTTTAGCAGAATTTTTGTCTTTACTGAATTGGTTCTTGTGATGACTACAATGTTTTTCCCCTTGAAGCAGAGCAGGATGTTAAGACTTTTAAAGAGTTGAGAAACTTGAAACCGTTTGCGCCACTAGTCACTGCGTCTCTCCGCCGCCAAAGCGTCTAGACTGGCACATGATGACGGGAATCAGCCAATGGCTCCACAGCTCCACACGCACACACACACACCCACACACACCCACACTCACACGCGCGCGCTGAGTGTGTGCGTGCGAGAGAGAGAGAGAGAGAGAGAGAGAGAGAGAGAGAGAGAGAGAGAGAGAGAGAGAGAGCGCAAACGAGACGCGCGCGCATACACACGCACACACACGCTTACACTTACACGCACACACACACGCGCGCACGCACACGCGAGCACACACGCGCGAGTCAGGAGACTTCAAAATAAAAGCACTAGCTACAAGTCGGTCTTATTGTAACTAGCACCTCAGGGATAAATGTATCTCCATCGAGACCAGGGGTCGGCAACATTTTACACCGAAAAGACCAATTTTGACCCAGTTTCCACGGAAAAGACAACACTGGAAGCCGCAAACACCTTTTGACACCACAATTAACACATTTTGAGCGCTTACAATAAATAAAGAAAAACTGCAGAGTTGAAAGTATCTTTCAAATGAATTAAAAAGCTGAACTTCGAGAAAACTTCTAGAGCTAAATTTCGAGCAAACAAAATGAGCAGTCATCCTTTCGGAACGTGTAGCGGAGCCTTGGCCTGAATTTAAAAATACAACTGAAAAAAAGAGCAGTATTTCACTGAACAATGAATATTTATTTTCCCTACTGAATGGGACTTCTGCATACAGTGTCGGTAAATCAGGGCTGTAGGAAGTCATCATCTTTACGCAGGTGTTTGTTTTTAACATTGTTCATGGTGGAGAATAGATGCTCTCATGCATCTGTAGATGCGAAGATCGACAGGACTCCAAATGCCTATTTTGTACGCCAATTTGCAGGGCTGTCAGAGAGTGTGATGTATATTTTGAGCGACAAAAAACTAATACAATATGTAAATTATTTTATTGTAATATTTTTTCAATCGGACACTTGTAATTTATTTTTCCAAGCCACGCAGAGCCGAGTCATTAGGATGACAGAGCTGTATATGGCTATGGAGCTGCAGATTGCAGACCACCGATCTACATTGTATTTGCCGTTTTGAAATCAATGGCACACACATATATTCAAATCATTGCACTTGAACTCTGCGGACAAGTGTGGTGAATGTCGTTGTATTTCATTTGTAAATATGACAATAGCGTGCATCAGTCCCTCTGAATCATTGTAAATCATCTTAAATGTATATTCATAAGTACACCCTTTCCACAACAATGGGTGAGGCTAGGTGATTGCCACACACAAACGCATGATTGGAGGTGGAAGTTCATCCCAAAGAGCCCACTTCCCAGTGGCCAACTTTACACCATTCGCAAGTGGAGATCTTGCAGTTTCTATGAATGAAAATGTGCTTTTCGCACGCCAGTGTCCTGCATTGACTACAGCGAGTCGGCTTCCGTTATGTAGACCGTGCGCATGCCTTGGAGGTTTCTTTTATTCTGAAAATACATGCGGAACAAGACTCTCGTTGCTATAGCTGACATGATGCCGCGTGTGTGGAATGCATGCGTGTGTTTTGATTGCGTGTGTGTGCCCGAGGAGGACTTGGTTGCACGGGGCTGAAGAGGGACGATTGCAACTCAGTTTGAAAGAACGGAAGCTATCCTTAAATAAATAAGAACTCCAGTGTGCCGCCTGATCTTCGGATTTTGTTGCAGGATTATTACGGGATCTCTGCTGACTCGGGATTTACTTCGGAGTGGAGGTATATGGATGGCGGAATTTCCAAAGCGGGAGGCAAACTCCTGGCAGGATCTTGGATGTAATCTTGCACATGTTGCTGTTTAGAAGCTGTCAATTGATAGTGATAGTGCCCCTGGAACGGTTCGAGGACTGTGTGCAGGATGTGGACTTGAATGAGTTCAGTTTCGATTAAGTTTAGTCGCTGAATGTTCAACGTGTGCGTGTTTCACGTGGAGCTACGATGTCGAAGTGAACACTTTCTCTCCCAAATGCTGCGCGAGAGCCCGAGGACGGCCACCCTCGGCTGCGCACGTTGGGCGCACCGCGCACCATCCGCACGTCTCGGCCGCCGAGTCTAAAAAAAAAACAAAACAACCCATGTGGCACCCTCCGAGAGCCGGACGGGACCGACGCGACGCATTCGGGACGGTCTAGGTTGTCGTATGTTCAGGTCGAGACGCTCCGGGCTCGTACGGCGACTGTGGAGAAGCCGTGCGCTCACTCAGAGCGATGGAAGCGGCCGAGCTGAGGGAGGATGTCCGTGTGGCTCCGGGCTGCCCAGAAAGGAACAGGGGCCGGTGACACGCGCCGGGGGAGACCCCGCGGGGGAGGTGGTGGAGAAGGAGGAGGGGGAGCAGGCTGAAGACGACCCGGGTGCCTCGGGTCGCACAGGCTCTCGCCGTGGACAGGAGGTGGACAGGACGGTGACCTGTTGTTTGTTTGGGGAGTGGGATCGCAGACCTCGCAGCCCCCACACGGTCACCCCAAAAGACAACAGGGGTTCTTGTGAGTGTGACCTCGTGAATATTGCCTACGCTTTTCTCAAAAGACTGCCGGAGAAAAGTCTGGATCCGCTGCTGAAGGCTGTGGAGTCCAAAGGAGGGGTGCCGAGCGAATGCGTCATGGTGCCGGGCACTGAGCTTTGGTTGGGGGCTCATTATGTCTCGCCTCAGTACCTCCTGGGTCTGATGTACCGATGGAGCGACCTGCCGCCCTCAGCCCGACTCAAAGTGCTCCACCACTGCCAAAGTTTTGAAGGGGGGGACGATGGGAAGGTGTGCTGCAACCCTTACCACTACAGCAGGTTATGTGGGCCAGGTGAATATCTATCTATCTATCTATCTATCTATCTATCTATCTATCTATCTATCTATCTATCTATCTAACATTAAACCATCAAATAATTTGGGGAGGTGTGTATCCTGTTAAAACAGGACAGTACTTGTAAACACAAACTGTATACGAGTACATGGATTTTTAGCTGATGTGAATATCTATCTATCTATCTATCTATCTATCTATCTATCTATCTATCTATCTATCTATCTATCTATCTATCTATCTATCTATCTAACATTAAACCATCAAATAATTTGGGGAGGTGTGTATCCTGTTAAAACAGGACAGTACTTGTAAACACAAACTGTATACGAGTACATGGATTTTTAGCTGATATCAAGGATATTAAATACATGCTTAACCCTTCTCATACACTAGCATGTTGTTATTCCTGTACATTGTTAAAGAATCAACGTTTTTTTTTCTTTCAAGTCCCAATTCAGTGAATAAGAATACACCATCAACCATTGAAGGGACACAAAAGAAGCGACCACAGCCAATTCTTTTTTTACATTATTTTTATTATTCATTTTAAATAACTTTTTTTATTCCCCCAGACATTCAAACGCATCTGTTTTAGGCTGTTTAAATTCTCTCCCAAAAACTTGCAGGCAACACGATCCGATTGAAGGTCACTCTCAAATTGCAACGCGGTTCTTGTTTTTTCTTTTTTTTTCCCTCCCCCTTGCTGTCTCCCTCTGTCAAGGAGGTCCTCTTCTTGTTATTTAGGTGAAGGAGTGCCGATAATATACAGTTTGCATAGAGCTGGCGCCAGACTGACTCGCTGGGTATCTGACAGAGGACTCGGCAATTACTGCCTGTGCTCTTAAAGGGGCCGCACACTCCGTGTCAGCTCCGTTTTGAAGGCATCGAGCCTGCAAGTGCACGACTTGTGCTGTTCGCTAAACTGCATAAATCATGTATTATTTCAATTATACATGAGTATGATCAACAACACCGACTGCCCCATGAAACATTGTCATATTCTAGGTGATGATTTCAACTTTGCAAATGTTGGTGTGTTTTGTTGCAGAGTCACCTCCTCCCCCATATTCGGTGTCCCATTCGGATGAACACAAGCCACTGGGTGAGTTTGGCAGCAGACACACGACAAAGCAGTAAATGACAGGCAGCGTCGTCTTTCAGCCAGAGCAGCCTGACACATTCTCTCCTGTGGTTGACATCATAGGTTGCAAGTAAAATTACAGGTTGAAAAATAGTTTGACTAGAGATGAATCTGATCCGTAATCATATGTTGCCACTGAGTGTTTACAAAGCATATGAAACTACAGTCTAGGTACTGGCTGCTAACTTTAACCGGTCACCCGCGATAAGCAGTATGTTACAGAAAATAGAAGGATGAATACATTTTTCAAGACACATTTTCTGATTTTGGTGTGAACCAAAAGATGAATATTATTCCAAAGAAATAAGATGTTACCATCGTAAATAATAATCATGAAAAATGATTGACAGAAATTTTACGTTAGTGCCTGCTATCAGTGCAGTGCACAAGAAATGACACTATTAACTGCAATGATGCGTGGAAATTATAACGTGCCTCTTAATATCTTACATTCTTAACCCTTAACACTTGTCAATAGTAGTAACATCAATAGTAAATAACTCTGCCTTAACCTTGACAGAAAGTCAGAACACAAACTGTATCGAGACGCTTTGAATGTACTGCAGTGTGTTGAGCATCACGGAATGTGTTTATTTCTTACAAAAAAACCTTGCTAAGAGGAGTCATTATTTGTAAATAGACTAAGTGTTTCGACTGAAATGAGGTTATGCGCTATCTAACGTCATGCAAAGCTTGGTGTGACTTGAGAAATGATTGATTTTGGCCACAAACATTTGGTCTAATTTCCAGTTACACAACATCAGGCATGTTTAAGGTCCAGTTGTCTCATATTGTGTTGACCAAGACATGTCGCCGTAATCGTTAAATGAATGTGAACCGGAAGGGAAAATGTTTCAATTCATCCAAACAGCTGCACAAGTTTGTAACGCGCTTTCCATTTTTGCACCATTTTTCAGACTCTATACTGTCTTACACTGAAACTCCGTCCTCTCCCATCACACCGACCGACGACACAGGTGAAGTACATTGCAGTCGTTTTAATTGCAAATATTCATGTTTGTCTACTCCTGTCCTGGCTGGGTGCTTGTATTTGTTTGCATACATACATTCTCTCATGTACTTTGAAAGTATTCACGGCAAAAAGTATTTGTGTGTTTTTGTGTGAGACGTATGTGCAAAGACCCCCCCGAGAACATCTGCATGGAGTGATAAGTTGTGGCGGTGTTGCAATGTTGTGCCTTCCTTCCTATTTTCGAAGGCTGTTAAGATAACCTCAAAGCCTGCAGCATAAAGCCTCTATTGTCAGTTCGGCATGGGAGACTTTGTGGAGGTCTGGGGTCTCTCGCTACCCTGATGCTGCAAAAGTAGCCTTCCACTCCCCCTTTCCCCATCTCTCTTTTCCTCTCCACCACAGCCAAATATTTCACTAGGATGAAGTTGCAATAAGATCCCCACGCATACACCCAATCCCCTTTGCCTCTCCGAGCACCCATCCCCCTCTTTCTTCCCTCAAATCCCTCCATTCCTCTCGGCAATTGAGCAGTGGAAAGAGACTTGTATTTTGGGGGCGGGGAAGCCTGGCGTTTGTGATCTGGCTTAGGTGTAGAATTTGTGTGTGTATATGTGGAAAAGGGCAGCTTAGCGTTGCACTTGGCCAGGAAACAGCCCCCTCTAGATGATGAAACTGGAGCTTTATTTGTTTAAGTGCTGACATCGACCAGAGAGGTCCGTGTAGTATTAAAAAAAGTCCACAAACCCACTCAATCACGTCTGTCCGGACTGGTGCTGAAAGATGGATGGGCACCTATGAAGTCTGCGTCATATTGTCACGGCATCCCAGACATGTCCGATGTACAGCTGATGTATTCATCACTGTCTTGTCTTGTCACGAGTGTTGGAGGCCGCCTGTTGCGGGGCTCTGAGAGATCCTCAAGTCATTGAGAACCCCCGCCCCCACCCCATCCCCCTCCCCACATGCAGAGCTCACTAGTTTTATGGGGTTTTGGACAAGATATCTGATAGTGTCATGGTGACGTACTGAAGAGAACTCTGCCCAAACTTTGAAGTGTATTGCAAGGTTTCCCAAACTTTTTCAACTCATCTAGAAATCTGTCTCCTCCATGGATCACAAATGACTAAAATGTATCTGTTGTCTGAGAGACGCAGATGATTTTGAAGCAGCCTTCAAGTGCTCTGTGGTGCGTGTTCACCTGTGCTGCAATAGCACACTGCAGTGTCCCCCGTAAAAGAAATCAAAGAAATACATTTTTAAACTATCTATCTAAACTATACTTAAAAACTAAAGTTTGTGTAACTTTATTGGTTCAGTGCTTTTACGTACTAGCTTCTTTAGTATACTTCTTCTTCTCTTGTGTCTATGACACGTTTTTTTCAGAAAAATGCAAACGTTATGAATCAAATTGTTTGCCGACATCAACCCAATGAGTGGATTGGAATATTAGATGCCATTCACAGCTCTATTATAAATGAATGTTCAAAAATTCTGTTTTCCCCAAATTATGGGACATTATTCATTAATGATTTTTTTTTTTTTATAATTAACATGTTAATTTATGGGTAGTGTTTTGCCTTTAGTATTATGCCTGATTTATTTGCAGAGAATTCAATTTTTTTTTCTCAGAAATTATTCCATCTCTTTTTTCTCTGAATTTATTCTCTGAATGGTTTGCATAGAAGTGCCGTGAGCTGCATCAAATTTAGGTAGGAGAAAGGTGAAAGCATGTTGAAATTGCTCATTCCTGTTTAAAAGGGTCAAATGTCAAGAGTTCACCGAAATTAAAAGCATCAGGAATATTCAGCAATTAGGATGGGCCTTGTTGTAGGTCTGGGCTGTATTCTTCTTGTTGGACATGTTTTGAATCTTGAATGCTGCTTTTAGTAATGCAGTATCCCTTAGGATGAGCGCTTAAAGAGTTTGCAGCAATCACCGTTTTATTTAAACTGTGTGAATGTTTAGAAGTTTGTCATTTATCTACTAAGAAGCGACAGACTACACTGGTTGATGTGGCCCTGTTTAGGAAGTGCAAAAAGTCAACATGCACATTTCAAACTCATAATCCAAACTATGATTGTTTTCCTCATTTTGTGATTTGATTTCTAAAATGATGCATTAATGATTTGAATGAAACACACAAAATATAGGGATGTTTTTGAACAAAGTTAAATGAAGGTTGCGAGGGAGTCGACTTTTGATGGTGATTTGGTCATTGTTTTCAAGGTGAACCGTAACAGGAGGCGCCACTGATTGTGCCTGGCGACATGAGCAGAGCTAGATTAGTTTCCTTACAGACATGCTGCGTGTCGTGTTTGTGAGAGAGAACGCCTGTGTGTGGTCTCAGCTCCCCTGCCCCCCACACCGCACCCCACGAGCGCTCCTAGTGGAGCCCAGAGCTGGAACTTTTATGCGGTACACACAAGAAACAAACAGATCTGCATATTGTTCTCGTCTCAGACTTTGTTCGGCACTTTATGAGATGCTCCTGTGGCTATACAGGTGTTTAAATTATTTTTCCCTTCCAGCTCAACATGTTATGTTGTCAATGAAGAGGCCAAGTTAAAAAACATTTGGTGTCTCCTTTGAATCTATTGTGAGTCTTCCACTAAATAGCCTGTGATCTTTTCCACACAACAAATGTGCTTTGGCTTCTTCTTTGAACCAGCTATTTGCTCGAGGTTTAGAACTAAAAAGCAGCAGCAGGGTGTGGCCCATACATACCTTTGCCCTGGCCTCTTTTATCATTCAATCAGTTAACGTTCCCTTTAAACCACCGCACACGGCACAACTCTAAAAACGAAACTCTAGTAGACTTTTATCCCTCATGTGACTCCATCAATTTTTATCATTCAGCTCTTATTGTCTCTGTCTGTGCGTGTCTGTGTGTTTGTGTGTGATCGTGTGTGTCTTCAAGTGAGACAGGGAGAGACAGAAGAATTTCTTCCATGACTCGCTGATAAGATCTTTTCAGTGTGTTCAAATAGGGGTTCTATGAGGACAAACACGCATGCACTCACGCACATGCATGCGTGGGTTAAACGGAAGCGGGTTGTTGCCTTTTCTGGCATTTCATGACTAAACGCGCATGTATGGATTGGTATACGTATAGTTGACTTGATTTTAGTTGTTTGTTATACGGGTGCAGGGTGGTCAACACTGCTGCCAAACAGCAAAAGGTTAGAATGTGTTGTGCCTTTCTGGTACTTGGCAAAATATATTACTCAGGTTTTAATTTTAATTGAAGACGGAATTGTTTGTAGGTGTGAATGTGAGTCTGCCCCTTGAAGTCTGCTGGGATATGCTCCAGCCCATCTGCAACCCTAGTGAGGGGAAGCTGTACAGAAAATGGATGGATGGATGAAAGTTCTTATTTCATACCAAAATCAAGTAACAGCATTCTACTTTCTTTCTTGTCAGTCATTTTTTAAGTCCACTGCCCATCTTGTCATTGTATGGCATTACTACTTGCTCTCTTTCATGCACAGGAGTTGAGATGATGTTTTACTTTAATTAGGCCGCGACCCTAGTGAGGATAAAGCGGTTCGGAAAATGGATGGATACTTTAATTAGGAGCTTGGCTGTTGTGTGTCACTTTCCCCCTACCAATGAGAAAGGCATTCTGTCCAGCACAAACCTCAGCCAAGGCATAACGATACAAACTGCAATCAGCATCTTTATAGATATTTACATATTTTCCGTAAAATATTGAAATATAAATAACACCCAACAATTTTTTTGCACCTATTTTTAATCAGTGATGCAAGTATTTTTTATTTTATTTTTTTTAGCTGATTCCAAATCTGCCCTTATTTTTTTCTCTAGCACATCAGGTTTTCATCCATCCATCCATTATTCGAGCCGCTTATCCTCACAAAGCTCGTGCTGGAGCTGATCTCAGCAGGAGGGCAAGAGCGGGGGACACCTTGAACCGGTTGCCAGCCAATCACAGGGCACACATCGGTGAACACCCATTCACACTCACAGTCGCACTTAGGGACACATTCGAGTGTTCCATCAACCTACCATGCATGTTTTTGAAATGTGGGAGGAAACCGAAGTACCTGGAGAAACCCCAGACAGGCATGGGGAGAATATGCAAACTCTACACAGGAAAGTTGGGGCCCAGAATCAAACTCTGGACCATTCTACAGGGAGGCGGACGTGCTGACCAGTTTCCACATGCCGCCCTCAGGCTTTCATAATACCGCTGCTACTACTCATATGTAATATAGTAATATATTTTGGAAAAACTATGAATTAAGGGTTAGGTTTAGCAACAGGTGGAATTTCTGAAACATCATAGTTGTAAATTACAACACATGGTACAATTCGTACTGCAAAACTTTATATTATAGGTCAAATTTAAAAACAAAAAAATGAAAAAATGAAAATAGCTAAAAAAATATAATGCACTAGAAAAGAGGTCAAGACATTTTTTAAATCAGCATCAGAAACACTTTAAGGGACACATAAAGCCATCTCAGAGTACAATTTGCTGTTGACCAGCGTAAACTGAAAAAATGCTGTGCATAATTTACTCGGTTTTGTTTTGTCAAGTGGCTGCAAAAAATAGAATAATCTGGATCCAGATTCCTTTTTTCAGTAGATGTATAGTCTACACACACGGTCATGCGTGCAAGACGGTCTCCAATTGCCCATGTCACATGCGCATTTGACTAAATCCCCCGCAAGTGGTGATCTTGCAGTCTACCTGCCAATGTCATGCACGGACCCCGACGAGTCTATTTCTGTTTCCGCAATGTCAAGCACGGTGTACTCGGGGGTACTGCGCTCCCACCATCCTAATTTTAATGCAAATAAGGGATGCTGCTTCGATTGGCCGTGAAATAGCCATGTTATATCCCACAATGGCGCACAACAGCGCCAAAGCCCTGTTAGGCCTCATTCTACCTGTGCAAACTCTAACTAAATACCAAATGAAAGAAAACTCCAGCCACCCACACAGTTAGGCTACGCTTTGTTTGGGGGATACAACTAGGT